TTAGAACATTTTTGTGTATAACTGGACTCTTTGCATTCAGTCTCACAAATGATTGGTCAATATTTGGTTAATATGTCAATATTCAATATCTTAAATATGTCAACACATGTTTGTTCACATATTAAATAACAGAACCTGGTAATGCAGTCTGTAAATAATTCGGCAGAATTGTAACTGCTAATTCAGAAGAAAGACATACATGTACCAGAGACTATTTTTATTATCCCTATTACTTTATACCTATTACTTTAACAACCAGTACCAGTGCACTCCAGCTTTACTTCATTAATCTGGATTTAGCCTGTGATTTTGTCTAGCACGGATGACATTCTTCACTAGGAGGAGTAGCTGTAAATGTTTCTTCATGAAACAGACCAGCATTTCTGCTTAGATGTCACTTTTGAGTGGCTGGTGCAACTTACAAGAAACTGGACCTCCAGGAAAAAAGACGGGAATGTACAGTACCAAAGTTCAACAGCATTTACCACAGCTGTTCAGCTCCTCCCTTGTTTACACACACATTTCTTCTGACACATTTGCAAACCTTGGAAATCCCAAAGGATTTTCAATTTGCAATATATTCACAGAGATTAATTTACATCCATAACTATGCAAAATGAATTTATGCCAGACTTCTTTTGCAAATAGTGCAGTGCAGATGTACTAAACAAACAAAAAAAGAAAAAGCATCTTTAATTGTTGGTTTTCAAAATATACAATTAGTTTTTCACCTGTTTTTCATTATTAAAGGTGTGAAGTAATCAGTAGAGTAATATGTACTGTCATTTTAATAATATATTAAGATATTATTTCTATACTTCTAATAATAACCAAAATACTGATTTCAAAACCGCTTTGGAGCCAATTACCAGTATTAAACAATTAGTTCCAAAAGGAATGTCTAACTGCTTCTTCAGTGACCCTAATGTTGAAGTAACTACAACCACTAAACAAATCAACAATCCTATCTACATTAAATTATGAGTGCACGTGTGTTTGGTGTACTGTACATCAATTTTTAAAAATGGGAATCAGTTTAACAGTATCAAGTGTAGTACTTATTAATGAATTACTATTACAAATTAATGCAATCTTCAATCAAAGGTTCAACCAATATTAGCACCCCTTATTTGTAAATGCATTTTATGCAATAGCTTTGTGGTACCTGACAAGCACTGAATAAGCTATGAATCCAGAGAGTATGGTAATAGGCAATCATGATTAGGATGTTAAACTCTTGATTTTACAATTATCGTCAATGGAAAGTCGTGTATGCCTGCTTAAATCAGGGACTGTGCTAGATGAGTATACCAGTGTTTTTGATGTATATTCACAAATTTGATTTACTGTAGTATACAAACCTTCCGTAATCATTCAAATCTTTGATTGAGGAATGTAGCAATTAAAAATGGTGTTTCAGTCAATTATTCATTTGCAGGGCACCACAAATACTGTTTTGATTTGCAGTTTATAAAATAATTAACACATAGCTGTAAATGTTTTTCTTTTGCATTGTGCTGAAAATTTCAAGTGAGTTAATATAATGTGATAAAGAATATAAATTGTAATATATGTGATGTAAACTGAGACTGGGATTCTTCTCTTGAGGAAAGGTTTGTGACAAGGTTTGCCCTGTAAATAATATAATAAGGTTCACTTCTAAAAAAGTCTTTTGATTCACAGTTTTCTTTATGATTTATAATCCAATATTTATAACCTGTCCATCCTGTCAGTAAGGTGGGGAACTTTTTTCTTTCCCCTTTAAACTTTTTTTTTTAATTTACGGACTTCTGTTAGTATGTGCATAAAATAATCTACCACAAAAAGTTGCAATTTACGATTTTTTTACCTTCTGTTGTATTTCCTGAAAAGCCTCTCTAATTTGAGACTACTGCAAACAGAAACTGTTGTTCAGTGTAAATGTAACTATGCAGACTGACTGTATAGCTAGTTGTATGAGATAAGACACAGTACAAGCCTCACACGCTGGCTGTATCTTAGCATTAGAAACAAGACGCCATTTTCAAAATGCTTTGCTTCCAATGGGAATTTAAGCACTTGAGTGTTTTAAATACATGGCCCAGGGCACGTTCCTGTCCTCACATTCCTTTGAGCATCTGTATGAAACAGAATGTAAGCAGATCACTGCTCATTAGCCGGGAAAGAGCTTGTCACCACTCTCACTTCTCTGGTCCTCAAGAGCTCAGTTAAGCCGGTGTCTCTCTAGGTCTCTCGCACCGCAGGCTTTAGGTCTGGCTCTGCAGGAGACATGACACCCTGAGCATCTTCATTTCTTCATCCAGCTCTGCCTCTTTCATTCCTAATCCCCTCTGCGTTTGCTGCTCTCCTTCTGTCCCCTTTTGGGGCACCTCTTAGGTTTGTCATAAGATGGAGCTTTTAAATTCAAAGAGCTTTATTGGCATGGCAGATGAATTACAGTGTTGCCAAAGCAACAAGATACTCTCAGAAGGATTTACATGTCCAAAGTGCAATCGCCTTTCTCCTGCCCTAGGCTGCAGATCCGTCAAAGCCCCAACAAGCACGACCTGTGGGAACGGAGATTATCCTCATGCACTTTTGCTGGAACGAGGGAGCTCTTCTTCTATCCTCCAGTCAGTCTGAGGATGGGAAAAAGCCATATCTTGCAGGAGACTAGGCTGCTTTTCCTGCCCAACCAGCGTTCTTTCATAGGCAGCCTCTCTTGTCTGCCCCTTCTCTACTCCGTGGTCTTAACATGAGTTTTCCATCACTCATCTACTAGCAGGGTGAAAAACCAGACTCTTTCAAACAGCCTCCTTCATGAACAGCTGACGTCTCTCGGTGGGTGACACGTCCTGAGTTCCTGGGACACGGTGTATACGGTACTCTTGCCCCGGTAATGGGTCGTTGCACACAGCTGCCCTTTCTACGAGCTCTTCCCTTGTTGATACTGTCAAGATGGCCCCTCATGCACAGCTGCCATGAGCTTTCAGCAGTTCACTAGGTCAAAGCCTCAAAAATGCAGGCCTTCCTTGGTGGAGGCTTGCAGTAGACAGCTTCTGTCCTTTCCTGAACACTTTCTTCATACACCTCCCAAGTGGTTACTCTTGGTGGCTGGTCCTCGCAAATCTTTACCAAACACGTTCACATTGTCCTGTGAAAATCCAAAGTGCTGCGTGTGACCCCTGCCTCTCCGACAGGTCCACGAGGGTGTTGGTGGTCCCATGTGGTTGCCACTGTGTGGTTCTCCCATTCAATTGTATTTTTGAAATGCTTAATGTGGTTGTCAAGAACAGCTCTTGGCGCTTACAGTATACACATGTAAAAGTATTTCTTTTCAAATGAATACATTACAAGCTGCACTTCTGTTTGCCTTTAAGTGCAATTCTTGACAATTTCATATTCTTTAAAAAATGTACTCCTTACTCGTTGGACTCTGAATTAATGCAGATATTTAAGATATGTCAGAACTGATAAAAGCCTTACTGGTGATTCTCCTTTAGAGTTACTTTACACTCCTGTCAAATGTGTCTGAAGGCCAAAAGAGATTGAGAAGACCGGATGAAATATGTTTGTATTGTACTGGATGCTGCACATTATTAACACAATTTTCAGCATAAAAAAACCCTCTATCAAGTCTTTAGACTGTTAAAAATAAAGCATACCATATTTGATTTTAATAACTCCAAACAACCTCTGTAAGTAAACTGTTCATAAAACCACATCCTCTGACTTGATTTGAGACTTGATTATTTTTGTGTTTGTTTCTTTCTTTTCTGGTCAGTTTCCTTGCCCTGTGTTCCTTGCTCAGTAATTAAAGAAGCCTACCACGACTTCCAACAAAGACAATTCACTGAAATAAACTTGAATTTTTATATTGCATGATTTAATTTGAAGTAGAGAGTTTTCACTGTGAAAATTAGAAAGAAGAAAGACACAATGTTTTGTCTCTGGAGCCTTATTCACCTTTTATGTTGGTTGTCACATGGGGAAGATTCCTCCAAGATGCGTTTTTTGTTTCACAATGTATGTTGCCAATTATAGCTTCTTAATAACATTTTAATTAATTTTTCTCTTGCCCTCTCAGTAGAATGGAGATCTTGTAAAAATAACCACTCTTTAGGGCTTTGGATTTCACTGTAACAATTCTGGAGAAGTGATTTTTAGAAATAACTACAGTATTTCTTTACTGAAACATTAATGAAACATTTATATTTAATAGAATTAGCCACAATTCTACAGTATGATAGTTGTAATCCACCCAGGTGATTGCTGACAGTGAAAAATGTTGGATGTCTTTTCTTTAATCAGCTTCAGTTCTAATTGCTGTTGATATCATTGATCATCCCTTGTTTCAAATTTACTTTAAACATTTTACCAAAAAGAAAATTTTTAAAAAAATACAACGGTATGACCAAGTTTCAACCTTGTGAAAAAATAATTAAATTGGCACGAAAACAATCCAAACATTAATATAACACCACCAACATATTACAAAACAAATCCAAAAACTCAAAATATGTGCGAAATCTCAACAAGTAAAAATAATTTTACGATGTTGAAAACAGAGAGCACCCAGTAAGTTTCTGTGAAGAAGTACTTTAAGCCAGTTCTGGAACCAAAAGCTTGTTTTAAGAGGAGGGTAAACGACGACTTTAAGGACAAAGCCGTTAGTTCTCTAGTGCTGAAACAGACTGGCATCACATTAAAAACTATCATACATTAACTCAAACGTGTAGTGCATCTTGACTGAGCGGGCCAGCACATTGTCCATCACCACCAGTCTGCATCGCATTAAAAACCGTTGGTCAGATTATAACGCCCATTGCAGCATTATTTCGATTCAGTCAGCTTTCTCTTGTCATTCTGCACTTCCTGTATTTGCAAGACACTTCCTTAGTCTTTAAATACTCCGAGACTGTGACCTTTTGACCCTAAAGCCGGTTGTTTCTTCTTAACCTAAAATGTGAGAATTGACATTTGGCGGCGACACACTCTGTCAATTGAGAAGAGAAACTCACCCGACAGTCCCGCTGGAGGGTTTTCATTAAGGCATTGTAAGTCTCTGCATCAAAGTACAGGCCTTCGTGCATGTCCTGTAAGAAATCCAAGTCTTTGAAAGTGGGAGATGACTTCTCTCTTTCCTTCCGCGAAGCTCTGCGCTTGTATGTCGAACCCTTCAAGTCATACTTGTAGTGCATCTTGACTGAGCGAGGCAGCACATTGTTCATCACCACCAGTCTGATGTTTATGCCCCCAGACTGCACACAATAAAGACCATAAAACTTCGGCAGGAGTGTCCTTGGATTCTGGTTCAAGTTCTGAAAATACAGGAAAAAAATATCAACCATTACAAGTACAGCCTTTACAGTTAATTCACCTAAGACAAGGTGGCATTATCTTAACAACAGTGAAGGCTGGAAAGTAAGCCTTTATGAGAAGCAAACATGAAAACAAAACCAAAATATTCTGTGTCAAACAACTTAAAATCGTTTTCAAACAGAATCTATATTCCAAATAAGAAAGAGCAATGGTCCAAAAAATCAGGTCCCTGTGGCACTCACTGCTGACGTTTTCCAATTAGAAGTTGTGTCATAAAATAGGAGAAAGGTATTTTTTTAACCTCACTCTATTTCCCATGACACAAAATCAGTTTTATACAGTATGAGACTACAAATACATGCACCACCTTTTCTGCTAGTTAAAAACTAAACAGTATTGTGCATGTAATGCAACGGAATACAGATTAACAGCATATTTTTGCCATTAAAATTGTATGCACTACATTATTGCTTTAATTTATAGGAAATGGCTGAATTACCAGAGCGTGACAGAAAGACTCTCATCAACAAGCATTTTTGTCAGATTGGAATATTGGCTTACCATGTAATAACCTGGAAGCAATTTCTGAAGAAACTCGGCTTCTTTGTGCTGTACAGTCTTGATGATGAATTCATCGTCACTGGTTAAATAAAACAAAGAGCCACTCGCTCCAGGGTTGGATAGTTCTATTAAAGGCTCACTGCAAATGGAGTACTGTGGAATAAAAAAAAAAAACACAAGAAAGGAAATTAAATAATCACTCATTTCTGCCAGGTCTCTTGTGCACAGGTAGAGATCACTAATTTCAGCAGGATGCTTTCTTGTTTCCTTAAAAAATATAGAATTAATTCGGTTTTAAAACACATTTAACATGCCAAACGAGTATGCATTTTGCCAAGATGTCTAACATGCTTTTTATGAGTGATAAAGCAGAAGCACGAAACTTATAGGTGCCTTAATCAAAGAAGGAAAGCATTTTCCTTTAAAAGTATAGGAACTCTAATCAGTTGTTAGATCATTTGGGAACAAGCTGCGGAATGGCAATTTTAATTATGGCTAGAGTGTTCGGTGTATATATTTATATTTATGTATCTGTTTGCTGCATGCTATCTTGGCTGTGGCTTCTCCCTCTACTGCATACCAACTCCTGGTAGACAGCGGCTTTTAAAAACTGCAATACAAAACTTGTGTGTGCTTTGAAGAACAATGTCAAAGTAAAGACACAGAACATTGGGAGGATATCACTGCAGAAAAAATCCTCCATTTTCACATTAGAGCTCTACACTCATAAGTAGAGTAGAAGGTTCTATGGCCTGCAAATTGCAGGCAGGGCACTGCTGTTGTACCCTTGAACAGAGAACTCAATTTATATAAATTTCAGTCGCATTGGAAAGTCAGCTAAATAAATTCATAGCAAAGACACAAGCTCATTAAAAACACCCTCCATGCTCTAACTCGTTCAGGCTTCTTTTGAAGTACTCAGAGTGTAGCAGGAGTATGATACTACACAGGGAAAATGGGCAAAAAAAGGAAACTAAATAGAGAAACATGCAAAATAGGCCTTTTAATATACAACATTATGCACTTCTACTTCATTTTGATAGATTTCATTCTGTATTACTTTCTATGTGCAATCTGATTATCACTGTGCCTTTGGACAATTGAGGACAATATCCTCAGTCAAGCTCATTCGATTGCCCAAGTCTAATGATGCCGATGCAGTTCCTTGTAAAACTATTCACCCTTTAAGTTTCCATGTTTTACTGCTGTATCAAGACTTTTTCAAATAGGATACTGAGAATCTGTGCAATCTCCTCTGAACTAAAGAAACTATGAAATGCTGATCGTATGTACAGTTGATTTTTAAGGAAAAGTAGAAGAAGCACGACTGCTGTTTTTTCACACCTGATCAGAGCTTTTACAACAGCACCTCTATATCACTTCATGTGCAAAAAAAACAGTATTTAAGGTCACAAGATAAGTTTAATAGTCTCTATCAGTGTGCAATTAAAGACTGCACCTGTCTCATTAAGTTCCCTCAGCAGTCGAATTCAGGTCACAGCTCACATAGCGATACAACAAATCGAATGTAAAACAGTCAATGTGTGGCATTTAAAACAAACGTAGCATTTAAAACAAATCAGGGATAAAGTATGAGAGAGACACAGATCAGGATATGATTACACCTCCCTTTGAGTACAACGAAGTCACTCATTAAGAAGTGGAATGTGCATCGTAACACCCAAACTCCACTTAGACAAGTGTGTAGCCATGCAAGCAGAAACCTTGTTAGACTTTACTAGTTCTACAGTACATCTGAGATAGGAGCCACTGTTCACATATCAACAATATCCAGGTAACTCGCTCAGTACACAGTGCCATGATACATACTGTAAACTTCAAAACATCCTTTAGAAATATGACACCTTCGTGGGGGTGAGTTCGAAACTAAGGCTGGAATACTAAATGTTTCAGTGACCTCCTTACACTTTTCTAATACTTAGTACTTTAGTTTGCTTCACAGCAATTTGGAATGAAAAGTTAATACCACTACGTCTGCTCATGACATTTGTGTAGTTCAGGTTACAGTCATTGTCATACACAAAACATGTGAATATGCTACATATGAAAACAACATTTGGAAACAATAAAATAACAAGGAAAATGTAAATGAAAGGTATACTGCTTCATTACTAAAAAGGGAAATTTGCAATTTACCGTTGTCTCTTCCTTAGAGTATTTCTAATATGGCAGACTATAACTTGTTTTAATACACTGCTGTAAGAAGTGTCCTGCCTCTATTGTGTGCAACATTCTGTTTAGAAATAATAGTCAGGTGTCTTGATTCACATAAAAATAAACATACTGTATTGCCTTATGATTACATTGTGGGTTTTTACTAACATTTGTCTGAAAAGAACTACAGAATAGTGAAAAATAAACACTTGTCATGCACTTTAATGAGGTCACTCATCTTCAATACAGATATAAAGTTAGGCTGAAATGTCTGATTGAAAGCCCTCAATTAGTGCTTAAATGAACACAATTCCCATGAGAAATTAAAACTCTTTCCATTTCAATGTACAGACAATTAGAGAAATCATTCTTAAGTATCCAATTAGCATTTCTATCTGCCTGCCATGTTAGTATCAGTCTGTAGCCTGCAATGAAATATAACTAGCTAGGTCCTTATCTTGGGCATAGTGCACAAACCGGTTAAAGGCAGGATCTTCAGAAAGCAGGAAAGGCTGAAGGGAATGATAGCATTGAGCACAATAAATGAAATTTCTCTTTATTTCCATTCCACTAGTCTTCCATTTTCGTATTTGTATCCACTGCTACCTTCTTCCTAAGTAATGGTAAACAAGGACATATTATTGACCTAGACTGGCAACTCAGATTGTTTGGTAACCAGGATGATCCTTTTGTTTGCAGCTGTGAAAATGTTGTAAAACCCAGCATTGGAGCAAAGGGATTTCTCTTTGTGTGCACAGGTCAGGAGAGGCTGGGAGCCATGGCGTGAAACAGCTCATTGTTCCTGTTGCTGCCTGGGTGAAAGCAGTCATGGAGCTTACCAAGTAATCATCCGGCTTGATCCCGAAAAGCTCTCGAAAGTAGCGGAACGCCAAGGGAGCGTAGGTTTTGAACCGGAAGTCTGGGTAGTGATGAGCGGGCGTCAGGTTGCTGCCTTCACTGAATGGTTTGACAATCAAATAAAAATCCAACACAGGAAAATACTGGTTATCAATCTGAAACACATGCAATATAAAGCTCATCTCCACCTAAGAGCGTACAATGGTCAGCATTAACGACAGATCATTCATAAAGATGAAAATCTTAATTTGTAAGTAGGACAACAGGATCTTCACTGAGGACTCAAGCAGTTAACCCAAGCTTTCGCTGGATTTCAACAGTGACCCACTTGATGTTGGGCTTTAAAGACATTCAGAAATAATCATGCTGTTTACTTTCACAGTAATACAGACAGCATATTCACAGAACTGGTTGTGATCACTTTCATGAAATGTGAGAATACTTCTGCCCCACTCTGTCCTGCTTAAAAAACATAAAGCTTCAATATACCAACCAGTATTGCATTCTTTACTGTAATAAAACACTATTTTGAGACGGAAATGTACCCAAGGGTACACAGGTTTATATTTACTTTAGTAAAACTGTACAACAGGTGTACAATTACTACTGCATGAAGCAGAAGAGCTTTTTACAATAAAAGCTATACTTATGGCTGTCTAATCAGCATCATGTTGTGGACAAGCTGATTAAATTATGTTAGGGCATTAATTATTATGTGAAACCTTTCAGTAAAACCCTTTGTTTCAGAGAAAGCTAAAACCTTTTAGAATGAGTTGTTTTTGTTCTTGACAAGGAAATATTTGCAAGGGTTACCTAACTACTGTAGGCTCAAAGCCAAGATTAGACAAATGTCCCCACTGTGTATAAGCATACCTGTAAGTGTTATGTTCACAATTAAGCTACTGTGTGCATTGCTCTCAAGGCAAATAAAAAGCAATCACTTCAAAACCAGATAAGTGAATCAGAGAACATTTGCAATGTAATTTGAACACAATTAATTGTGTTACTTTTCTTAACTTCAGTATGATAGGATATCAGTTCATCCTGTTTGTAAGACATAGTGCTGATTTACTGACATCAAGTAACTATGTTATGAACATAAAGATGTTATTTAAAAAAAGACTTCACAGTAAAAGAAAAGACTTTAGACACCTTTTCCGCTGGTTTCAAGCCTTAAATTATTTGTGAAGGTGGAAACAAGATGAGGACAAACAACAAAGACAATTACTTAACAATTAACTAATTAGCAATTTTCCAGACAAACTATAAAGTTAAGAGTTTTGTTATGAGATAACATATGTACAGTATAAATGTGAAAACAGCCACTTTTAATAGTCCATCCTTTGTCACAGAAATGTAGAGTTAAATGTTAAAATGTAAAAAACAACAGTTTTTTATTTCTCACTGTGTGAAAACTACATAAACAAATCTGCTATAAAGCCTTCAATCGATGTTCTGTAACTTGAGTCAGAATACCAGTATTACAGTAAAAACCATGACATACAGAAATAGCAGTTAACAAAGAAACGAGAAAGCAGTTACAAATTGATTCAAATCAAACTAAGGCATAGAGTGGAAAACATTCACTAAGGATTGATACTGTATGTTTTAGATATGTTTTAGTGTAAATGTTAATCACATCCCAGAATGTGGTCATTATTTCTCCAGTAAAAGTGTATTAAAAGCAACATGGATTGTAACATTCATGCTTAGGAAATTATTTACATACAGTAGTTTAAAGCACCTATTATTTCCTTAATGTACATATCGAGTTATCACAGGTATCATCTGCACTTCATGGAGACGGTGCTTCACAAATAGCATCTACAGCACCAATCACTTCATGGAAGTCAGCAACCTGATAAAAACCTATAATGACAGGTCTTCTTCCTATGATGTTTTCCTCTTCACAGGAAATGTAAGATGTTACCTGGTTTAAAAAGAGGCTTGCATTATCTGCTAGAAATACCTAGATGAAATCTGGAAAAAGTGCAAGAGTCAGGCTACTCCAGTCTGTTTTGGAATAAGCCTGAGGCTCACTGATAGAATCTGCTCTCTGTATCGCTAGACCAGTGCACTGCAGTTTACAGGTGAACAGTTTCAGGACCAGCCTTAATTCCCTCTTATAACGAGAACCTGAAGTGTTCAGTCATTACTTAGCCCTTGTTTCCTCTTCAGTCCAAGCTAGCAGTCTTTTTCTGATGTTGAAAAAACCTTCCTTTGCAATCACCTTCCACTTTATAAATTAACACCATCCTCCAATCAACAGCACATCCTCCACTTTATACTATACTGATTGTTACCTTTTTATTGAGCTCACAATAACACCCCCCCCCCGTGCTAATTAACACACATTTACATATGAATGTAACATTAAGCATTGCTTAATCGCATACCAAGCCAATACTATGAACATAATTAATGTTATCTTCCCAACTCATCTCAATGCATTTACATACATTACAAATATTCATGAGATTTAAAACAAAATGTGGTCTGAATTAAATCAAATTTGGAGTAGGTCTAGGTTTTCCAGAGGCTTCGACCTGCTAGAAACCCATCAACAGTTTATTTTACTAGAATTTATGATAGACAGATTGACAGATAGGTATAATTTTTTATTTAATCGGGCCATTACTCCTATTTAATTCTATTATCATGGTTTGATGTACACATTAACTATCTTAACAAATAACATCTTAAATAAAATGCATGTTAAATTAAAGGTTCGTTTCTCCAGATACCAAAACATATTAGCTTTGATCCATGATTAGACTACTGGTTATAGGCAAAGCTCATAGTAAACGAGAGTCTATTCCCAGCACACAGGGCTCAAGGCAGGACTTTACCCTTTACCCTAGCCAGAACACCAGCCCAGCGTAGGGTATGGGCACATGCAAGCAGCCAATTTAGAGACGGCAATTACTCTGGTGAGCATAGTTTTGGAACCTGGAGGGAAACTGGAGCACAGAAAAAAATACAAAAAGAACATGCAAACAAAAAATTGCTAGCTATCCAAATTAACAAAAAATACCAATGCCATCTTTAATTCTCTGTTCTGTTCTAAAACCAAGGTTCATATCAATCTTCCATGGCACCAACATTTCTACTGTGCCTGGAAATGCCTCTTGGTATGTTGATACTTGGATATTACATGGCTAATATTGTAAATCTGAAACCTGGGGCTTACCTTGGTAAAAACACGCTTTCCACCACATAAAAATCTTGCATGAGAACATCTCTGTCTGGCTTAGAGGTCAGGTTCCCAACTGTGTAGCCTATTCCCAGCTGGATAGCTCCCTTCAGTGCAGAAGATGTTGTCTGAAAAGAGACAATGCTTTTTAATGCTGTTTCTGTCATTTGGTTTGTTGAAGAGAAAACTGTAAATGAGCACACAAAAACATGAAAATCTGAAAATTATAAACTGTAACAAAGTAATGATAAGTTTTGAATCCCTGTCAACATACTCTATATTATAAAATGGTCTATGCCCATATGGAAAGACTAATTACTTCTCCTGGGCTGAGCATAAATTGGTATTTAAACTCTAAAACTGAACAGATATTACAGTAGAAACATCACAGATATTTTAACCTGGATCCTTTTTAACAGTATTTAAACAATGAGTGATATTTCACCACAGGCTATTCAGTCAGTATTTTTCCAGAAACTTTTTTGTGGGGTTTTATATTACTATACCACATATTTCCAAACAAAGGGCTGTAACTACCTCTTGCCTCTTATTCACTGCTGCCTCACTTGCAGGTGTACAACAAAGGCCATCTTGTGTGCCTGTTGCTACACCCAATCTAAGTGGGTCTTTTACATTGTGCTATTTTTTCCTGTAAAAAACAAGTAAAGCTGCTGTTTGTGGACTTTTGGATTCTATTTTTTATTCAGCTTTGTCCATGACATCAATGTGCATCACGCAAAATACCTGTATATATTTTTTTTCCTCAGCACAAAGATTTAAAGACTCATTTCACAACTATCTCATGTCCTCCTTATATGTGCAATATTGAAGGTAGCATGACTGGCAAAGCTTCCTTCATATGGGAATGCTGAGGCTTTCTCAAGTATTCTCCTGAACTGTCTGAAGCAAACACTGTTAGCCAAGTCAGCAGATTGGACACAACCATGTTGTTGTTTTCAGGCTTGGTATGCTGGCTTATGCAAGTCCAGAAAAACACAGGCTTCTAAGCAGTAACTGATTATTTAAGATAAAAAAGGATTTATTTAATATCATTACACAATACCTCAACATGGAAAACAAGATACACAGAACATGGAAATACATTCTTCTGGATCTTTCAAAATGTTTCTAGATGCAGAAAAGGGTAAACAGAACATAAGAAAGATAATGTACAATAAGTACAAACTATACGGTTCACACTGATATAGAGCACCACAGTTTGCAAAAATGTAATGGCAATTTGACCTTAATTCTTAATCAGAATCAACAGAAATACACAGATAGAGATATATTAGAGATAATTGACTTAATATACATTATAATATCAAATCTGAACATATTAAATGCATGAGATGGTGATATAGAGAAGGCTCTATCTCAATCATCAGTGCTGCAAGTTACCTTTTTGTACGTTTTCTCCCCACCTGGTTTCCCCGCCACTCCAACTCCATTTTCAGTAACAGACGACATCTTTGAATAAAGCACATATGTTAATATATAATAATTACCAACATCAGCTGAAATTTGATTCACAGCAATTGTTCACATTAGTTAACTTCCTCTTTTAGTCAGATTTTTCCTAAAACGAAAAGTGCAATTTAAAAACTGTTTGCCAAAACATCAGGCAGTGTATGCTTCACTTTGGTGCTTTGCTTGCACTTATAGCAAGTGAGAACCAAAACCTGTGCTGTCCCCACTAAGTCTAAAACTGAATTATGAAATGCATTAATTGCATGTTTTAGGGGCTATCGCTTACAAAGTGCACATAATGAGAGATCGGGAGAATAAGTGGGGACAACCCAAAGCTTATTATATAATTAAACATCAAAGGAAAGCTTAAAGGTTATATCTACTACACAGTTAAAAAAACATATTCCACAACCAGATGCCACATCATCGTTATTATACTTTAAAACCTATAAATCACACTAAATGGATTTACTTACACACTATCAACTACCACAGAGATTCCACTGTGACTACAGGCTAAAGAATGTTATGTAAAAAGCTTCACAAATACCTTGCTTAAAAGCTTTGCAAGTCATCTGTTGATCACGGCAGCTGCCTAATTCATTCATGTGATCCACAAATCTTGTTTTCTGTGAGAAAAAGACAAACATTTAGAAAACATCAGTTTCCTGCTTAGCTGTGCATTTATGGTATTTGAATAAGGCTGACATTTCCTTGTCACAAGCAGTCTTGAACCATCAACATCCTTTATCTAACAAGCCGGTGTTTTATGGCAATTTTCCCCTGTGCCTAATGATAAGCATTAAAAAACAAACATCGATCTGCAATGTGTAAGGAAGAAATACTCAGGTGAAAACAGGAAATTAGGAGAAGGGATTAAAATTCTTCCTCTGATCTTTAAAATGAACCTTCTCTAGCCCAACTACTTCAAGTCTTGTGGAAAACCTTCTTTGATGCATATGCTTAGTAAATCCTTTTAATGATCATTTCAGTTCCTGTAAAGGCTGCCTAAAGAGAACATTCTTAAGCGTGCCTAATGCTACAGGGACATTACCATAACAGAAGTTTGGTCTTCCAAAATAATTATCACGTGATGTGGTGAAGATGACTTGCACAATGTAACACGACTACATTTCCATACTTCCTCAGTTATGACACACTTATAAATACAGATGCAAACATGTGAAAAAGTACTGTCATCTTATCCAGCCATGCAGAAGCATTAAGAGCCTTGGCTCAAGGGATTTAGATTTGTAGTCCACTTGAGCTCTCAATACCTCAGCTAAACTCAACATTTGGTTAAAATGAACACTTCACAAATGGGAAAGCTTTACTTTAAGAGTTCAAAATGCATAAAAAGAACCCACTTGTCTATATGGACGAAAGGCAGTGGGTGGTAAAACTGAAAGCCAGCAATTCAATGTTGTAACTGCAAAATGACGATGTACTGTAACGCACTTCTAAGTGCTCATTTAGCGTTCCGTGTTCGGCTTTGATCAGAGCAAGACAAAAAAAACCAATGCTACTCTGGAATCAAACCAGACAATAATGACTGTATATTCCCAGGCTGCAATCAATGTCCAACCATTGACAGATGAAAAGAACTGAAGCATTTTAGCCTTCAGCAAAGAAGCCTCTGAGAGGAAGGAAGCACAAGCCCCATTCAAGTATTCAAATGTCCCTAATGTCAACCCTACGGTGGCTGATTCTTCAGACTCAATGGTTAAACATGAGCCGGAGGACAGAACTGTAAAACAGGGAGGAGTGTCTTTAAAGTAGCAAAGGGAAGGCATGTTTTTACACAAAGGGTGGCGGACGTCTGGAAAAAGCTACCTAGCCATGTAATCAAAATCGATACCTGGCTTGTTGAGATCCTTGGAACAATTACTGTAGCTACTTAACACCAAAGAAGATAGATGGGCTAAACAGCCTCCTCTTGATTTCAATCCTAAAACTGGCCAACAGATACAGAGAAATTCACATGTACAGTATAGTAGCAAAATGAGAATGAACAGATTGCTTGACATGTGCCATGTACACTGGCATGTCTAGTTTTTTTTTTAAGCTTGCAAGAAAACGACCCTTAACACATGGGTTTCATTTACAACTAGCAGGTAGGTCTAAGTTCTAATTTGATTCAGTCTTTAGTCGCGGCAAGACGTACAGACGATTAAAAAATTTGATTACTGTGATCTTCGCTGCATCTTCTGAGATGGTGAGAGAACAGAGATGATACAGAAAATTACAGGATGACACAAGCAACTTACACCTGGATTGCACACTTAATATTTAAATGTAGTGCCTGCTGCTAAATATATTACAAGTTGCAGACACGGTTCAACCATCGCCGCAGTGCTGTCTTGTTATCAAGAGCTGAAGCTCCAGTGGCCATTCTCCTCAGACACTGAGAACCTTTATACTGTACCTGCACGAGATTCGCAATCTCTTTCTGACGGAGCGCTGCAGAGGCAGGAGTTATCACCTGCAATGGCTGCACGAGCAGCATCTCAATGCGCCACTAACATGGAATTACATAAATCTCTGATGCCTTCTGTCCTTGCTTATTAGTTTATAATCGATTTACAGCTGAGGCTTTAAGACTGCTGTAAATCCAAGACCCTTCACAATAAACAACAGTGGGGCTGTCTTGCTGCTACAGTATCACTAATCCTGTTACAACATCAGTTACGGAAGCCAAGAACTGTAAACCAACCAAGTGCAGTGAAACAATGAGAGCTGATGTTTTGGTTTATGTGATGACTGAGCAGAGCACAAAACACATATAAAGAGGCATCGTACTCATCAACTAGTCACACATTCAGCAACAGTCATTTGGCAAACTATGGTATTTAGCTGCTAGGCACGACAAGAGATCTGAAATCATTCATTAAAGGTCTTACAGCCACAGAAAAAAGACATGCTGCACTTTTTTAATATATCCTATCATTGTGGCTTCTATCCCCTATTTTGATGTGCAATGCTGTATGATTTATAAACATAGCAGCCAAATGCTTTCATCTCCACAATCACACTCCAGAGTTACAGAGTAATAAATTAACTCCTGTGCTGGTGGCAATGAGCTTAATTCCTAGAAATGACACACATGCAATTCTCGTGACAGCTATTTAACATGCAGTGGATATCAAACGTCTACACACCCTTACTGAAATTTCAGCTTTTGTCGATGTAAAGGCTGAAATCAAGACAAATCATGTCAGACCTTTTTCCACCTTTAATAAGATCTTGTAACCAACAGTATTTAAGCGAAAAACAAATGGATCATTTTTAGGAAATAAAAAACCTTCAGAACATTTCAACACTCAAAACAAAAATGTAAAACATTTGCATTTCCTAGCTTTTATTCAGCTAATAGCACTATTCGTATCACTGTACATGTTGCACGTGAGGCAGATATTTTGTTCTATCTGGGATTGAGTTGATAGCAGTTTTATTGGTTAGAAATAGGATCATGGGGAAAAGCAGTCTTGGAGACAATATATTCCTGGTGCTCTATCATAACCTAATGCAAATTTCATTTGTGCAGTTTCGGTGAACAAATTACCACACATTTAATTACTACTAACCTAAGCTTCCTCTCTACATTGGCACCATTTACACAACCGGGCATTTCTTTGTAACAATCCTGTTGAAGTATACCGTCCCTCCTGGGATTTGAACCCACAACCTTACAATTACAGGTCCAACATCCTAACTACGGCTCCACAATGCAGCACATGAGTTACAGAAGGTATGTGCAGTCACTGATTAATGGTGACCAACTTTCAGAATATAGTTGCTTGAACAGGCAACCTAATTTCTAACTAATTTCTAATTTCTAGCACCCTAAGCATTAACATGTATCTTCCAACTGCAATGAGCTCACCCAGAGGGACCTCCTCCAGGCCTCCTTGACCTCCTTAGTAAAGATCACCGTGGCCTGATAGACGAAGTTAAACCAACCACAGTCCACTTTCTCTCTCCCATTACTTTGGCAAACGATACAGCGGATTATTGAAAGACTGAGACTTGGAAATTGGCATGCCTATTACAGTCCAACAGGCACTGTTAATGAAATATCATAGATTTTCTAAGATGCTACACAAGCACCTACAATAACAGGGCATCACCCAGCCTTTCATATGATGCATTGTAAAGCTGAATTTCACCTTTGTATTCCATATAGAGAATCAACTATTTGCTATTTACAATGTTGTAATTGTAAGCTCTTGTTAAACATTTATACAATAACTGATGGAATCAGTACATGTGACTTAGGTCGTTCTTAAAGTACTTCTGCTACAGCATCAGGACTCATGTCAAGCTAAGCATGTTCTTTTTTTAACAAGGTCTCAAACATCTTTATTAAAGTGTCATAGAAAAAGCCGCCAATCTTTTCAGTCACAACAATCTTGAAATCCATGATGCACAGTTTAACTCCAAATAATGTTGGCCATAACTCCAATATAGAATAATAAAATGTACAGTATTAATGGAATACCAGATCTGAGTCAACGTTTTTCACTTTCTGTAAATTATATATCAACTAATTTAATGAGCACCAAATGCAATGTGAGGAAAACCAATGAAAAATCATATTTGTTATTCTACATTACCATACCTCAAGTGTCAAGTTAAGTATGAAGATTATGGGTGGACAGCTCCACATTCAAGGTCAAGCTTAAGGACACTGATAGGGTTCTTATGAGATCTTAACAACACTCTGCAGAATCTGTATTTCAGCTGCTAGTGCACAGGCATTAAAACAGAACATTTCTGAACACATACAAGCACCACTTACAGCCATGCCAGGTCTGAGGCATACAGTACAAGGCACCCAGCAATGTCCAATGAGCCTCCCTTGTATTCCCTGGAGCTGAAAATTTATACAGATGCTAGTCCTCAAGAGGCTCCCTCAGACCTTTAATTCCTTCCTAATTTCCTCGAATATTATTCTGCCCACAAAAGAGCTCCTTGCCATAACTGTATTATCCGTGAAAGAAGATATTCTTGGATTACATGTAGGCCTGCTATACAGTTCACATACAATCTGCTTAGAATTACGCTGAAACATCCACACTTTTCACTTTGCTGTTCAGATAACAGACAAAAAGGGTGCACAGCTCAAAACTGAGAGAAGAAGCTTCAGGCTGTGCTCCCTTTGCATTGAAAATTTCTCCAAGAGAGGAGGAAATCCACAGCTGTCATAGGATTTAACATTTTCAAAACACAAAAGAACAACAATGCACCACATCACAATAGGCTGTACCACGAACCCTTTTATTTCTACACAGCACAGTTACAAAGCGGCAGAGACACAAACGGCAAAGTAATTCTACAGAATTCAAGAAACTTTAATTTCCTCTATGCCACACACATTCTCCACCTTAGCAGTCTGTTATTTTTTCATTAGGAGAGTCCTAAGGTCTCTAAAAAAGCTAACTGCAAGCCACATACTGTGATATGAAGTTTGAGAGGAGCTGAGACAGCTGTCTGTGCTCCCAGGAAACTGAATCATTTATTTTCGTGCTTTGGAGAGCCTTCATGAGCTCATGAAAAAAGAAAGAGGGACAGCTTGGCATTAGGAAAGGGAGACAGTTTTGCAAAAATGCACAAATGCTAAAATACTTCC